ACTGGTCGAAAAATGCAAAATTTTGCTAAAGAAATGGGATTCAAGTTGTTAACATCCACACCATATTATGCCCAGGAAAATGGACAAGTTAAAGTTGCGAACAAGGTGATTATTGGCTTAATAAAAAGACATGTGGGAAGAAAGTCAAAAAATTGGAACAAGACTTTGGATCAAGCTTTGTGGGCTTGTCGAACGTCTCCCAAAGAAGCAACTAACTCCATGCCTTTTCGATTGACGCTTGGGGATGATGCAGTCTTGCTAGTAGAGATATAGTTGCAGTTAGTAAGAGTTCAAAGGAAAAACGAAATCCCCTCTGACTATTATTGGAAAATGATGATGAATGAATTAGTCGACTTGGATGAATAAAGATTGCTTGTATTAGAAATCCTAAGGAGACAAAAAGAAAGAGTGGCAAAAGCCTACAACAAAAGAGTCTGGGGTAAAGCATTCTCAATCGATGATTTGGTTTGGAAGGTAATACTACCCATGGATAAAAAGAATAAACTACTTGGGAAATGGTCCCCACATTGGAAAAGACCCCTTTGAATCACTCAAATATTATCAAATAATTCCTATGAAATAGAAGAGTTGATGGAAGATCGAAGAATCCTGAAGATAAATGGTAAGTATCTAAAGAAATTTAAACCCATACTTCAGGAAATAAAAATTACAATGGAATAGTAAGTCGAAAGCATGAAAAGCCAATATGGTATTAGAACCAAAAATGCCAAAATGGCTTTGTCTTAAAATTACATTTTGAAATGGTGCACATAAAAGTAAAAAAGGAACAAGTTACAAGCATCAATTTCTCAAAAGGGCAGCTTCGTCTTCATCTTTTCATATTTTATCATCACCAACCTTAGTTTGTAATCAATGGAAGATTGAGTGGCTTTTAGAGCAGAAATTTCTTCCTCCAATTTCCCTGCATTTTCGACATGTTAAACGCTTTGAGCAGTTTCCCTGTCAATTTCAGTGTGGTCCATCTTTGTGATCTCTTGTTGACGGGCCTCTGCTTTAGAAATATTACCTTGTGGTTCCAGTATCTGTTATTTCCAAAGAGATATGGAGCGAGTGTGGACATCGAATTCTTCATTCGCTGCTTTAAGATCTTTCTTCATCTTTTCAGCTTTGGTGGAAGTTTCAAGCGCCTTTGCCCATTCAGCCACTTGAATGTTTTGTTTCTCTTGGAGTTTCGAAGCACCACCCATTTCCCTGTTGTAGTCAGCACTAACTTGATCAATTAAGCTTGTTATGCCAATGAGGACTTCAACAACTTCAACAGGACACGTAACTATGTTGATTTGATTAATCAACTTCTTCAGCCCATAGCATGCAGTGGCGTCCTTCTTCAAGATATCAAATAAATTGACTTCGAATATTTTTGCCTTCACTTTCTGAAGAAGTTGTTCGAATGTTCTCACATTTGAGTCCCCATTGGAAGCAGTCGAAAGGCTGAACTAACTTTTCTCTGAAGGTGACCCTCGCTTAGTCATCATTAGTTTGACATACTCAAGCGGGCGAGTTTTCTTTAAAGCGTCAAGTTCTTCCTGAGAACGTTTGGGTTGGGTGTTACTATCATTTCACTGAGTGGTAAAAGTGGTGGTTTCCTTTAAGACCAGGACGAACATTAGCATCTTCTTCCTCTTTGTCATGGAAGTATTGGGCAATGTCATCAGATAGGTGCTTCTCTTCGTCAAGCAATTCTTCATCAAGCTTCACCTTTTTTGGGAAGAATCATGTGGGCTATCATTGCCTTAGTCTTCACCAGCAGAAATTTGTTTAGCCTCAGTTCAAGGAGAAGTTTCTTTTGCAGGTTGCACAACAATATCAAATTGATTCACATTTGTCGAAGATCCTTTGTTGGAATCTTGATTGTGAGACAGAGGATGATACGAAGTAGTGCCACTACTATGAGGAATTTCGTATTGAATCAGAGATTCAGTTGGAACTGGTTGAGAGTCCGACAAAATAATAATAATAACGTAAGACAACTCAAAAAAATAATAACAAGTTTCAAAGAGAGATCTTGAGGAAATTGTACCTTTGGTCCTTCGACCCCAGGACTTGAGTTGTCACTCTCCATTCGCTCCAAAATAACATTTCCAGACGATTGAGAAATCTTCTTTTTTGGTGAAGGGGGCAGCACTTCGACTGTTATAGGTTTGGATGGCTGAGAAGAAGTTGCATCAGGGTGTTTGGCTTTGTTCTTCTTTATCTTCTTAGTCTTTGAAGGAGTGGAAGAAGTGTCTCCATCATCTTCAGAAATTTGTAGAGTTTAACAGGTTATCAATTACCTTAAATAATGATCTTTGTGTTACCTTGGAAAATCTTAAGGTATTCAAGTACATGTAGTAAATGAAGATATTCTCATAAGCTAAGAGTCATCCTCCAAAATAAGGGTTTTTCTGGGAAACAGAAGCCAGTGTTTGAAAAGTTGATTTTATTAAGTTAGAGTTAATGCTTGAAAGGAGTCACACTGAAACTGACGAAATCGAACTACGTCGACTAGGAAGAAATAAAAGAACATATGTCAAGAGGTCAAAATTTGTTTAGTCGACTCAAGGGTAAAAGACAAGGACTTGATCGAAAATGGTTTTAGTCGATAAAAAAGGGTTTCTTGGACTTAGAGGAAGTGTGATTATTCTTTGTCAGAAAGAAAGTGTCAAAGCAAGGCAGAAGTGGTTTACGTTCAAGAGGGTTAGAGGAATCATGGACGGTTACCAGCAATCCACGACGTGTTCAAGCGCCAAATAGGTAGAACTTCAAAATTATGAGCAGTTCCCAACAATCCACGATGTGTTTGAGCGCCAAATAGGTGGCAACATCTAGTGAAGCAATTACCTCGAGATGTTAATATTAGTCGTAGACTTTATCTAGGTAGTTACATTGTAAACACTATAAATAGGCAGATTTAATATAGTTTGCGGGTGTGTTCATTTGTACTCTCAAATCACTTGTCAAACTTTATCATTCCAAGCATCAGGAAATCAAGAGTGAAGAGTGCTTGATGTACGTGAATCACCATTTTTATTTCAATGCAAATCATTTATCTTTCAATTATATCTTTTGAGTACTTTATCTGTTTTCTCTTTACTGTCGAGCAAGATCTATATGTTATCTTCTATTTCACATAAACAATTCAACACTATTTATTGGTCACGAGTCACCAGTCAGTTAGTTTAGTGAGTCTCGCTTTTGTATGAACATCTTCTGTCGGTCACGAGTCACCAGTCAGTCGATTAAATCATAGTGTGGAAAACCATACACCCGTTCCCCCGGTCAAAAGAAAATCATCTCCCTTGACTAATATTTCGACGGAATAGGTGTGATAGTAAAAACTCTTAGCACGCGTCTTGAGATCAACTGGTCGATCTCGCAAGTTACCCTCAGTTTAGGACTCTAGAAGGACGATTGTTTACCATTTTCCACAGTAAACACTCTGATGAACCTTAGGTATGAAATGAGTCATAAATACTATTACTAGTAACCCTCGATGATAAAGTTATTATTGGTACACTTTTAAATTCAAATATAATGTCTCCGCATGATACCAAGTACTTTTCATGCTACTAGCTAGCATTGGAGGTATTGAAAGTACCTAACACATATAGTCTATGTATACTATGTAAGGGATTTTCAGAACCATTTGCCAGATATTTGGGAATTTTGACCATTCCATTATTCCATTATGTACACTTTGTCTTCTTAGAGTCTGAACAAAAGTTATACAGTACTGTGTCTGGTGACACCTAATCCAGATTAATTAAGATAAAATAAAAGTGGTGATCATAACTCATATACTAATTAACAGTGACCTACCTATATCATGGTAATTGCTGTAATTTGGTCAAGTTCGTGGCTCAATGGTCAGATGGGGTGGTGCTCAATAACTAAACTCATCTATCTACCAGATAAAATAGCTACATATAAGTTTTTTTCTTTTCAAGTCTCTTGACCTAGCTAGATTACCATTAGTTGCCAATCATTGCCACCAAGAAAATATATAAATAAACAAATAAAAGACAACGCATAAGATCTGTTCAGCTTAATTTGTTAATTTGTTAAAATTTATCAACTGCATAAATATTTGATAGTATAGTAGTATGATGCACTTCTAGAACCTTGCAATGGAAAAAACTGAATCACCAATGACGTACTGTATATCTTGAGATTTAAGACATGAAATTTTAGTTATGGTGAGAGTGAGATTATTAATTATCCATTTTGGTTGCTGAGAAAAAAGATCTATCAAAAGATCTTGCTCCACATAAAAACAAAGGAATTAATAAGAAAAGTATGTATGTGCCTTCTGTTAAGAATTTAGTATAGATATCAGAAAGATTTAAACTTTGACAAAGAGCATTACAAGTTTAGGAGTTGAAGCATTCAATGATATGATATCCGTGAGTAGATTTACTTGAGATGCTTATTTTGGTCAGACAAATTCCTAACTCATTTATCAAATCTAGGAAAAATCTCCTTAAAAACTGCCATATACACCTGCCTCGTGCTCCAGTTTTTGTATTATAGTTATAGGTACTATACCTCACCACAATAATAAGGCTAATAATGAAAAATATAATACTAATGTTTCCTTGAAGAAACAAGACGTGGGGAAGAGGAAGCATCCTAAAGTGATTAAGATTCATATAATGTAAGGCTAGCTATTAAACACATCATATCATATGTATGCCGTTGACAAAACATTGAGTGGTTTAATATTATAGACAGATATATAATTCATATTATTATATTTTATCTGCAACTACTAGTACAGCTCTTTTTCACAACAGACTTCACAAAAAACTATATCAATCCCAATATTTTATATTATTTTCTTAACTGATTCTAAGAATTGCTCTGTCTATTTAAGAGCATTTTCTGATACTTCTATCTACTCATTCTTACCTCCTTCACCACTATAATAAGCCTTTTCCTCTACTTTTGCTACTTCAGTCCATATTTAAAGAGTTTCGTTTCGCTCTTTTTTTAGAAGAAAAATGTGGGTTTTGTGTGTTGGGGTGTTGGTTATTGTCTGCATTGTTGCACATTGGGTTTATAGATGGAGAAATCCTAGTTGTAATGGAAAACTTCCACCTGGTTCAATGGGTTTACCCCTTCTTGGTGAGAGCCTTCAGTTTTTTTCTCCTAATACTTCGTCTGATATTCCTCCATTCATCAAGCAGAGAATGAAAAGGTATATATAAAAGTATATTTCAATTTACCATTGTAATTAAGTTTAAGTTTTTCATTAGAAGGTAATTAGGAATATCATAGTTTGATTAGGGAAACCAGAATTCGAATTCTGGCTCGGAGCGTTAAGACTAAAAAAGTAAAGGAATATAATGGTTTATTTTTGTCTTTTTTCAGATATGGACCAATCTTCAAGACAAACTTGGTTGGAAGACCGGTTGTAGTGTCTGCTGACCCTGATCTTAATTACTTCATATTCCAACAAGAAGGGAAAGTATTCCAGAGCTGGTATCCAGATACCTTCACAGAGATATTTGGGAAACAAAATGTTGGTTCCTTACACGGTTTTATGTATAAATACCTTAAAAACATGATGCTCAATCTGTTTGGTCCTGAAAGTCTTAAAAATATGCTCTCAGAGGTTGAAGGAGCAGCCTGCAGAACATTGCAGCAATCGTCGTGCCAGGACAGTGTTGAGCTGAAGGACGCAACAGCAAGGGTAAAATTGTAACATTATTACACTAACTATTTTTTCATTCCCCTTCTATTATCACATTCTTCATTTCCATGTCTGAACCTTGGTTTTCTATTTATATTACCATTCAGATGATATTTGATTTGACTGCAAAGAAACTCATCAGTTATGATTCAACAAAGTCCTCTGAGAACTTAAGAGAGAACTTTGTTGCATTTATACAAGGACTCATCTCATTCCCTCTCGACATTCCAGGAACAGCTTATCACAAATGTTTGCAGGTAAGCACTTTATTAATAAGGATACTTTAGTAAATGAAGCTCATTTAATTATAAAAATTAGTAGTATGTCAAAGGAAGAATCAAACAATGCGTAGTAGTATTTCAATTTGATTGAGAAAACTGCAATATTAATTTGTTTTGGTTTTTCAGGGTAGGAAAAAGGCAATGAAGATGCTGAAGAACATGCTGCAAGAAAGAAGGGAAATGCCTAGGAAACAACAGAAGGATTTCTTTGACTATGTTATTCAAGAACTTAGGAAAGAGGGAACAGTCTTAACTGAAGCAATCGCTCTGGACCTCATGTTTGTACTTCTATTTGCAAGCTTTGAAACCACTTCTCTGGCTCTTACTTATGCCATCAAATTACTCTCCGACAATCCCTTGGTGTTCAAGCAACTACAAGTACGTTAAAAATATATATTTTCTTATATAAAAAAATCAGAATCTTTGAAACTATTTTTATGGCTTTACGTGGCCTCGTTTTTTAACTTCGCTGGTACTGTGTCTTTTAGGAAGAACATGATGCCATCCTTGAACGGCGTGAAGATCCTAATTCTGGAGTCACATGGCAAGAATACAAATCAATGACATTTACATTTCAGGTTGGTTAAAAATTTCTTCATATTTATAACGAGGGACAGATTTTGTGTAAATTTTTCTTATTTGAAATTCAATGATGATATGCGCAGCTTATAACTGAAACTGTGAGACTTGCAAATATAGTTCCAGGAATCTTCCGAAAGGCACTAAGGGAAATTAATTTTAAGGGTATGTGATTGCTGATTTAATAATACTAATTTTTCAAGTTTCAATGTTCCAGTGCATTGGTAAAACTTGATGTTTAAGCAATGGAAAAGCACACTGTATTTGACAATATTATCTTAAACATTATCTTACCTCATTTGGTTTGCATTAATGAACATGTGCAGGATATACCATACCAGCAGGATGGGCAGTCATGGTGTGTCCCCCAGCTGTACATTTGAACCCGGCAAAATATCAGGATCCCCTTGCCTTCAACCCAAAGAGATGGGAGGTGCGTTTAGTATTTTTTATCATTTTCTTTCTAAAACTTTCCATCTTTTTCGGAGCTCACTGCTTCAAAGAAATTCAAAAAGTAATGTAGTTAGCTTCTTTAGCAAGTAATATAAATAAAAATTCAAGTAACTTAGACTCTAGCCTATTATCTCTCATCTTTTACAATTTAGTGACCCAAAAAGAAATGACCTACAGGGAATGGAACCAAATGGTGCTACCAAACATTTTATGGCTTTCGGTGGAGGCATGAGATTTTGTGTCGGGACAGATTTTGCTAAGGTTCAGATGGCTGTTTTTCTTCATTGCTTGGTAACAAAGTATAGGTAATAAGCAATGTCATGAATATATAGTAACTTTAAACTGAAATAATGTACCATAATTTATGCCTGAATTTAATTTAGACAGCAAAGTACCTACCCTCTTTAATGTCTGAACATTTTAGGTGGCGACCTATCAAAGGAGGGAATATTGTTCGAACTCCAGGTTTACAATTTCCAAATGGCTTCCACGTCCAGATCACAGAGAAAGATCGAAGAAAGCGCGAACAAGAATATACAACTATATATTAGAAGACAAAACCTGCAAGGAAGACTCGTAGTAGAAATTTAGACTTGACATCTTTTCAATCATTCAACATCTTTTACGATGCACAATGCAACATTTTTGTAACGAAAGCCGCAAAAGTAACCATAACGGCCTCTTAGTTTAAAGTCATTTAAAAATCATGCTTCCACTAGATTTTCTTCAAGATAAACTGCTACCGAAGGGAAATGGACCAAGGGGGGTAGTGAGGGTTGTATAGAGAAACATGTATCAGAGTATGCCTTACTAGGGAAGGGAAGTTTGACTTTGTAATTATGAAGGCAGTGAGGGAGAGTAAGGGAAGCTTCACTTTGTAAAAGTGTAAATGTTTCAGATTATATATTATATACAAATATATTCACGTGACCACATTACAACAATAATATATTCAGTAGCTTCCATTTCTCAATTCTTGCCCTCTACACCCCATAAGGAAGGGATAGAGAGGAAGAATGAAGACTAGTGGAAACAATAAAAATAAAGTATATATACCTATGATTATATGAAGTAGGTACAAAGTTGCTCTAAAACACTAAGAGATTGAATTTTAAAGTTGTGCGCAACTTTCTCTACTCAGACACAGGATCATATACCAAAACTTGTTTTTGTTTGCCATGATTTGCATGCCTTATGTTATCATGCTTCAGCTCTTTGATCAGTCCTGTTGAAGGGTCCTGCTCCTTTCTGTGTTTGTGATGTTGTGCAGGATTGTTATCATCATTATGCTGCAAACTACCCATATGCTTTTTTTGTCTATGCTTGTGCATTTCTTTCTGAACATGGTGTAGATGATCAGAATTCCTTTCAGAATGTTTGTGCTTGTGATGGTGCTCATAACTGGTCTTTTGCCTATTTGGAGTACGGCGGTTCGTGTGTCTGAGCTCTTGTTTATGATGTTTATTCTCATGAATATGATGGTGTGCCTGGTTAATTTTGACTCTATGTTTATCCGAGATGAATTGCTCATCAGCACCAAAACTATCCTCCCACCAGTCATAAAGAGGATCAAATAGACCTTTCTGGTGCAAAAGCCATAATAGCACAAGTACTACAATTCAAAGAACAGTATTTATGTCAATGTGTTCTGCTTAATTTAGGAATTGCAGTATATGAATATACATAAAATAGAAGCCATACCTGTCGGAAAAATTGCCAAAAACAGACCAAACAACATTATCCAACTCAAGCAAACATATTGTATGTGGCACTTGAAGTCAAAAAATCCAGAGCATTTCTGTCTGTACACCCACCCAAACCATGGGATGTCCAAACAAATGAGTCAGTACTGGACAAAGGCTATGGTCAAGTAAGGGAATATATATGGTTATTGATCTGCCAAATTACCAATAAGTGAGTTATACTCGCTTATTAAAGTTATAACAAAACATTTAAATCGTTGAGTAAACCAACTTTTTGTATGTTGCAGACTAGACTGTTGAAATAATAAGTTTTGCGCAAAAATAATCCTCCATGAAAAATATACAGCACTCAACTTGTTCACAGCAGTTAGTGCATGTGAAATGATACAAAATTTAAGAAACTCGCTCTGCCACTCACATTCTAGAAATCAAATGATATAACCTGTATAGTAGAAAATGATACCTGCAATTTTTTCCGGTAATAAATTCTATTAAGCCTGTCCATAGTTTATTCCACATTCTTTCAATAGAATCAAAGATACCATTTATACCAGTCTCTGGAGGTTGAAAAGGTATCCCCTGCAATAATCAACGGTTTGGTGATCCACATGATGATATGACTTCATGATTACAGTTTCCGTAACATACTTCATTACATCATCTATAATAACTAGCATATTTTGTAATGAAATATACCAGACTATCTTTCCTATTAAAAGTTGTAGTATATGTGTTATCGTTAGTAAGAGAGATATTATGGAACTGTTTGTGTAATCTCCACTCAATAAAAATTCATTACAAGTTCACTCATCTGGTAATTGGAATAGGTGTTCAAGTATGAGTTCAGGATCGCTTCTTACATATACCCTTAACTGCGCCACTTTTGAATTATGATTTCTAACATATTTTCCTCAAAAAAGATAAATTGAATAGCCAACAACATTGATGGTATTTTTAGAAAGTTTGAGATCGTGAGAAACTCCAATTATAAACACCAACAAAATCAATTAAGGTTGAGAAATTATATTAAAATAATTTGGTTAGTAAAGAATATGACAAAACAAAAGCCTTAGGTCACCTCAAGTCCATGCATTATAGATCACGTTTCATGTAAGAATGAACCCTAACTGATTCCTTAAGCCTTAAGTCACCTCAAGTCCATGCATTATAGATCACGTTTCAAGTAAGAATGAACCCTAACTGATTCCTTGAGCATATAAATATTGTGTGGAGTTCACCAGTACAATACAGCAAGTCCCGCCCTTATTATAGAGGGAGGGAAATCTTTTTTCTCGTGATTTGACTCATTAAAGATTTTAAAAAACATCAAAACAAAAGTATACTGCTTTGAATACGAAAATACAATAACCAAAGTATTTTCCCACTAGGTGAGTCAACATCGATCAAACAATACTGCTGATTTCAGGTCATAGGAGAATAAGCACTTAACATTTCTAGACTCTTACTCAGGAAGGAACAAACCTGTGTTCCATTGTCAAGAACAGTTCCAGTAGTAGTAAATTGACACTCAGCTCTATCAACTTCAGTATAATCAGAGTCCTTCAATATGGCTTCATTAAAAAACACAAAAAATAGGCATAATTTGAACATCAACATTTTCCTTATACTCGTAACAAATAACAATGTATTAATCTTAAGCTTCAACTTTACCTGCACAGGAATATTTGGAAGCTTGATCATTGTTTGGGTAGATTTTGAATGATCGAGTTGTAATCTCATTTGGCTTCATGATCAAAAATTGCTCCTGAGCAATGTTCAATAAAAATTAAATACCTAAACTTGAAGACCAATAAAACTATAAAACTAGAATGGTCAAAAATCAATATGCTGAAGTTGAACAAATGTTTCAGCATAATAGTACCTCCATCAGGGTGATCTCTTTGGAGCAATTAAACTGCAACACAATATAAGCAAACTTCAAATGCATTTGAATTAAATATTGGGAGTAGTTACCCTAATTAAACAAAAGTATCTGAAGCATGCATTTATTATTTTCCTTGCCATGTGAAGCACCCAATTCAATTAACTGACTAGAGATAATTTAACCAAACATATTATCTGAATCTTACGGGTGAGAAGAAAGATGTGAAGTGGTAAACTTAACAATAAACATTATTTAGCATTATTAGTCAATATTCACAATTTATTATATTCTCGTATTTCCTAAATTTATTGAGTGTACTTCCATATCCCCCATGTTTACTTACTATACAACTTTATGACTTACCAGGTTAAACGGTATATGTAAATATTTCTTTTTTGTATGTTATACCAAAAGCAAGTAGTACTAAAATATTCCTTTGCTATAATTTCAACGATGCCCTTATATAAACTATGATCACAGATCCTCATGTTCTTCATAGAAATTAATAACCTCCGGTTATATATCAGATCTTATGAGCAAAGAAATAGAATGGAACACAAATGACATTAACCCTGAATTTTTTTGTAACAAGTTACAAAAATAAAAATTATACAATGCATATTTGACGTCGAATTATGAAAAACTCAAATCAACATTCCATCGCCGAAGTAAAAGTAGAATTGTAATAAATAGATTCCATGATGCACAACATAGAAGTTAAATAAATATATGCAATGAATGTAAAAAAAATATGATTGGAAGGCTGAGAATCAGAATACCGTCAAACTATATGATGCTTCCACCTCACCAGTATTCTTAGTTGTGATTGTAGCAAGTCCAAATTGAGTAAGGGCCTCAAATGTAGGGACACTTACACTTATGATCTTTCCCGGGCTCCTAGAGAAAAGGAAACTTGTCAAACTAATTTTCTAAAGCTATACCATAGAGACAATAACTCTGGTGGACATCATACCAAATCAAAATTCATTCCTAGGTCGTTAATAAATAAAATTGACCGCATTTAGGAATCATTTTGCCATCATATTTTCTTTGTAAATAGCCTCTTATTTTCAAAAAATTTATTTCCATTTTAGGCCAGAACTTCAGTATGTATACTTTATTATTGGTAATCCAGAGTTCTTATTAAAAAACTAAGTGTTATATTACAAATGATTGCCAACTTTAGTAACTAGTGATATGTATAGTGATTAGAAAAAAAAGAATCATGTGTAGGCTATGTATGAGCAGTAGTAATGAATCTATTGATGATAGCCAACCTGACAGATTCATACCCATGACAGAAAAAGAATGTCATTGTTTCAAAATAATACATGTACCGAGGAAACTATAGTACCTTTGATAAACATAGTCTACATCATTGGCACTTAATTCTATCACAATATTTGTATTAAGAACCTCTGTAATTCCAATGGAAAAAGAGAAGCTCCCAGCATTCTGCAGACAAATCAAATAAGATTTCATTTCTAATAGAATAACCGTATCAAATAAAACATACAATCATTGTGTCACATAACTGGATGCTGGTTTATCCTTTGATATCTTCCTTCCAAACCATAGAGTGGCACCTGATTCCTACTTAATCGATTCAGGTCAGCCTGTTAATGACAAAAAGTTTCTTTCAAAGTTTAAACAACTATAAGAAAACTGGATATGAAGTTTCAGTTAATGATTGGTTAATATAAGAAATATGATTTGTAACAAAGAAACTTTACGTTTATTGATGTAAAATTCATTTCTTAAAGTCATTGCGATTTTTGTGCACAAAAGCATAAAAGCCCAATGTCAGGAGTTAGAGTCGTAGTGTGTGATTCGGTGAACATAAGAAAAGATTTTGAATGAAATTGATTGTGAGATAATTTGGTTACAGTTGATTTTGACGTGAGATGACTTATGTTTGGATGTTTTAAAATTGTTACAGTGCTGACCTCCCGAAAATTCCACA